CCTGTTTTGTCTGTTTAATGTCTTTCTACAATAAATGCAGAAAAATATTACTGTGTTTCTGGCAGCTATACACAATCCAGGCAATTGGCTCAAACTCTTTACTATTGTAATTAGTGCAGGTGGCTGGATTGTCAAAGGGTGCTCAAATATTAGAATTCAACCAGAAAGTATGAACAAATATATGTTTTGCCAACTTCTTATTTTGGCTGAATTGTTTATTCTTGACTTGTTTTCTTTTTTCACTTAAAATCCCTATAGGATATCTGCTATAATATTCAAAAAATCACTAAAAGCTGCAGGTGAATAATATAATACCCAACTAGGTTGAGTCTTCTGCCAAAACAAAAAACGATGCAGTAAGTTAAGTAAAGATCTGGTTTGCTGCTAATACCGGTAGACCTATCTGGATATTGTGTACTTCTGTATTCATGCTCATATGTGCCTCACCAAAGAGTTAAACCCTAGAAATGATTTGATAAGCTAATTACCAGGAGTGTCCTACAACGAAATGTTGCTATTTATTGGTTTTTCCCTTTTTAGGCTTTTTTTTGGGGGGGGAGCTATTACAGACCTTGGTATTATACTAGTGTGCATTTCACTAGTAGAAGTTCCATTTTCACACAAATCAATTGCATTTTAGTATATATTGGCTCAGTAGTAGCCCACAGTCACATGAATGGCTAAGATTTTATGAATACAAATGCATATTCAGTGCCATGTGACTTCTTTAGCTAGCCAGTTGGTTTGTTGTTTTTTTTGCTTGCTGCCTGATGGAAAAACAAAATTGAGCTTGCAGTGAAAATATTTTTAATGCGTTGTAGCCAAGATTTCTGAAAAGCTGTCATCATGGAAAAAAGGTTGTGGTGTTCTTGGGGTATTTTGCTTGAAATAAAACTAACAAGGAAAAAATTGAATAGTGTATTGAAATTGCAAGAGTTATCTCTCTGTATAGTCCTGTCTGCCTCTTGAGACAACTATTTGATCTGCTAAAGAATAAGCTGAGTATGTAAAGTTAGGGTGTTTACATTTTAAGTGTGACAAAGCTGGAATTTCAATGGACTGGAGGAAAAAGTATTTTTCCCAATTTACTGTCTTATTTAAGTGTTTCCGTCTCTGTCTCTTGTCCTTGCAGATGTTAAAAAAACAAACAAAAGAACCCCACGCTTTACCAAAAGAAGCAGCACATTACTTCAAACCAGCTCTGTAGCATCTGTTAAAATCAGACTTTAGTGGGGCTTTTTGACACTTCTAGGTGAAGCTGATTCAATTGGCTATTAGATAAAAGCCCCACTAAAGTGCCCAATTTTTACAGATGTTGGGCGAACCAGGTTGAAGTAATTCACTGCCGCCTCTGGGCATGCATCGAGCGCAGCATGGGAATGCACCAAGTTTTTAAAGTGAAACACTGAAGGGTTTTCTGATTATTATTTAAAAAAATTTTTTTTCTCCTTGTTTTGTGCATTTTTACATCTGCAAGCACCCCTTTTTTGTCAAAATAGGGGTGGGGGGGAAGTTGTTCTAAATGAAATGTCAAGCTAATGTACTTCAGCCTGACTTTTTAAACTGCCTTTCAGACTAACCAAATAAGCGATGACAAATAATGACTAGACCAACATGAGTATGTGTAAGTACTAGGCAAGATTCCTTAAATTCACTGGATCCAGATTTTAAGTTTCCCACGGAAAAATGGAAAAACCCCCACAGATTTCCCCTTTTAACAGAAAAAAGTGGATTTTTAATTTTAATGGAGACCTCAGAAAAGCTAATGGCACTTTATCGTGCATCAGCAGATGCATGATGAACAGATCCAAGGAGGTGATACTTCCCCTCTATCGGGCGCTGGTCAGACCGCAGTTGGAATACTGCGTGCAGTTTTGGGCGCCGCACTTCAAGAGGGATGCGGATAACCTGGAGAGGGTCCAGAGAAGGGCCACTCGTATGGTTTAAGGGCTTGCAGGCCAAGCCCTATGAGGAGAGACTGGGGCACCTGGACCTCTTCAGCCTCCGCAAGAGAAGGTTGAGAGGCGACCTTGTGGCTACCTATAAGTTCATCACGGGGGCACAGAAGGGAATTGGCGAGGTTTTATTCACCAAGGCGCCTCGGGGGTTACAAGAAATAACGGCCATAAGCTAGCAGAGAGCAGATTTAGACTGGACATTAGGAGGAGCTTCTTCACAGTTAGAGTGGCCAAGGTCTGGAATGGGCTCCCAAGGGAGGTGGTGCTCTCCCGTACCCTGGGGGTCTTCAAGAGGAGGTTAGATAGGCATCTGGCTGGGGTCATCTAAACCCAGCACTCTTTCCTGCCTATGCAGGGGGTCGGACTCGATGTGCCTATGCAGGGGGTCAGACTTGATCTATTGAGGTCCCTTCTGACCCTAACATCTATGAATCTATGGATTTTCCACTTTTGCAGAGAGGTCTCTGCGGGCTGGCAGAGTTCCAGCCTGCAAGAACTTGCAGGAAGGGTGACCAAAAACCCTAAGCCCAGTCCTGAGGGGGAGGGGCAGATCCTGAGACTGCTGGCCAGGGCTTGGCTCAGACTTGCTTCCCCTCCTGGAGCCTTTGTGGTAAGTGGTGTTTTCAGGGGGCTGGAGGGTACTGGCTGGGCTGGAGGGGGGATCCTGTGGGGCAGGGGCAGGTGGCTGCTGGGGTTCGGGGCAGTGGGAAGAGCCAGTGGGGCAAGTAGGTGGGAGTGTGAGAGTTGGGGCTGAGGGAGTAGGCAGGTGTCTGTGGGAAGCTCCACACAGAGGGCCAGCCTGGCCAGATGGCATGTGGACTGGGAGGTGCATGTCATCAGGCTGGGCAGGAAGCTGCCCATAGAGCCACAGAGTTGATTGCCATCAGGCCAGGTGGGCCCTGTGCCTCCATGGGCAGCTTCCTGCTGGAGTGCTAGAAGTCCCATGTGGAGGCACAGAGCCCACCCGGCCTGATGGCACCTGGCTCCCAGTCCATGCACCATTGGGCCATGCTGGCCAGCTCTATGCCTCCATATGGGGCTTCCAGTACTCCAGTGAGAAACCACCCATGGGGACTGCCTGGCCCAATGGTGCATGACTTGTGCCTACAGTGCGGTGATCAGCATATGCTAGCACAGAGCCAGCTTGGTCTGATGCAAAGGGGCATGCTAGTGGCCCAGGGTGGCTCTGTGCCAGCATGTACAGGCCCTGGGACTTGGAGCATAATCCTCTGGGGTATACAAAGTGGTCTTACCAGGAGCCCTGACTTCCATGATGAAAAACCCAAAATCAAATGCCAGAATATGTAGGTATATAGAATTTATTTTATTATAGTGACTGAGGCACTTGGTAGGCTTCCAAATAGTTCTAAAATGCTAAATAAATCAATAAAATGTGTTGTGTGCACGCACGTAATGGCCTTTCATCTTAATCACAGATTTGGGGGGTTTAATCGGAGAATTTTCTTTTTCTTCTGATTTAAAAAAAAAAAAACAAAAAAAACAAACAAAACACAAACAAAGCAACCCCCAAAACTAGGATCCCTGCTCATGTAGTTTAGTTGTTTGAAATGACTTGCAGCCCTGAGGCTGAGAGAATTGTGTTAGGTCATTTAGAGTAGCCAGACTCTCTCTCTGTTTCTAGATGCTTGTTTTTCCAGTTCATTCAAATGTTAGTTTGGTTTCACCTAAATGCAAATATCCTTCTCATCTTATGCTCAATGGCTCTTCTTTCACAGTTGTCCATCCCCATCCCTGGTGCATGCCATGGCTAGAACAAAGCCTGGCTCCTAACTTCCCACCTGTCTTCACATTGAGCAACTTGTTGGAACACTGCATTTCTTATTTAAATAATTAATTTAAACTTTGGGTATTGCTGACATCCATCAGGTGCAAGGATGTGGCTGCCTTACGGTTGTAGGAAAGTCTGTTTATGGTTTTGAACATACCCAGTCTCTGAATTGCACCTTGAGGTTGTCATGAGAGGCAGTTGAGTGCTGGCTCAGTTCAAACTCATGATGCCTGCTTCTACCCTGAAATTCAAACAGAGGTAAGAATTTGGTGTTCTTCAGGTCAGTCATTTCATATTTCTAATTTTTTCTTTCGGTAAAAACTTCTGTTCTGTGGCCTTTGGTGAGCGCCTCACTCCACCAGCTTCTCCCCACTAGCTGACCAAAGGAGCTTCAGGAATCCTAGGAAAAACCCACACAGCTCTGCCTGGGCACAACCTCCAATCAGAATTGAAAAGCAAATGGTAATTTTACTATGCCTGATTAATCTGACATGTTGCTGGGGCTTGGACTCAGAGTTGGGCTACCTTGAAGGGGGCTTGTCCTTCCCAGTGAAGACACAAAAGGATCCTAGCCTTAGACCTCACAAAGGACTTAAGGCCACAAAGCAGATCTCTCAGCCAGCTGTTGCAGCAAACTTCATACATGCTGCTGGCTGAACATTTCTAACACTAGGTTCTAGAGCTTGGTGTGCTTTGAGATGAATGACGGAAGTGGGTTTTGTCTATCTTGCAGCCAGTCATTTTCAATCCTCTCTGTAAAGCTGGATGCAACCTGTGATTGAATAACTAGTTAAAATGAGTCATTCTCCTTATAGTGAATTTTATATCTCCCTTTTTTATTTAACTCCAGAAAACTGAATGAGTTAGGCCAGGGGCAGGCAATTATTTTGGGCGGAGGGCCACTTATCGGGTTTTGGCAAGCTATCGACGGCCACATGACAGGCAGCCAGGGGCAGATAAATATTAATTTTCTACGTTTTTAGACTTGAAGCACCCCTAAAAAAGGATGGAGAACCGCTGATGTAGTTTGAGGCACAAAAGAACTACATTTTATTAAAATGGATACAGACCTCAACTGTGCAGGTGAAGGTCTTGTGCATTGGCGTCTAATGCTCAAGTTGAGTCGAGTGAAGAATACAGCTGATAGCCTATTGTAGATGTATATACTTCATTGTATCAAGCTTCTCCAGAGTGACCATGGCACCGGGACCAGGTTGCTGCAATTTTTTGACACCTTATATGAAGTGCATGCTCAATTATGACACCAGCAATTCTTAAAATTACTTTTATTGAGGTTTTACAAAGTAACACTTTAAAACAGTATAATTTGTAGAGCTCATACTAGGTGGGTTACGAATGTTAAGTAGCATGTGTGTTGGCAGTTGTGATGGACATGTCACTGTTGACAGTACTAATGCTTTTCAGATTATTGCAAAAGTTGCTGCAAAACTCTCTAAATGGGGCTCATGGGGAGAACGTGTTCAGGGTAGTGAAGACCTGTACCTCAAGCACATACTTTTTATAACTGATATTCACTAAATGTGACAGACGACTGTATGCTTTCTGACTCCCCCGGGGAAGGAAGGCAAAGAGAAGACCAATTTGAACAATAAAACCCTGCAGACTCCTGAACTTGCAGTCTAACATATGGGTAGGAGTTGTATGATGGAGCTATGATGGGTGCTTCCTGCATTTCAATTCAACGATAAGTTTTGGAAGGCAAGAGTAACGGGGCTGATAGGTACACCTCTACTAACTATTTTTTGGCTGTGCAGTATCTTAGCTGTGTTTCATGATCATCCTTATCTCTTTCCTTCTTCCTTTTCTTATTTGGAACAGGACTTGCTTTAGAGAATGTATACAGAAATGGAGATCCATTCGATCCTTTTTTTTTCCCCTGCTAGCTGCCTTAATACTGGCCAAGGTAGGGATCCTGATAAGAACAGCCTTGTGGGAGAAGAACTAGCAAAATAAACTAGTGTAGATTTATGTTGGGTGAGTTAACTCATGCTTTCATTAATGCTGCTAACTTTCTCATCTGTCAGACCCTGCTTCAAGTCCACATTATTATGGGATAGACTTTCATTTTGAAAGATGGGTGATTTTTACATATTTTATTCTGGAATGGGTCTTCATGTTTTATCTGACTTCTGAAAAAGGTGAGAGGATTTTTGCTAATGGCTTTTGACCAATATGATTGTGTTATCCTTAACTTTAAAAAGTTGCATTACAAAAATACATTTTAAAAATATAATAACTTATCAGATGTGGATAGTTAAACTCATAATACTTAGCTTTTTAAACATTGCTTATGTAATAAAGATGCTTGTACAGAGGATGCATACATCTGTTGTTACCATGTATATACTCAGGATATTTATATTTCTCTGCTGCTTTGACTTTGCTGCCCCTTGAAATTGTTAGATTTGGCACTATAGAAACCCTGAAGGTACACCTTCGGTGTCTTGTTCCTTGCTTAATGTAATCTAGTCCCATATGGTTTAATAATCCTTCAAATACCCTTCGTTTTTTCAGACTTGTACACATGTCTAAGGCTGAGGCTTTTTAGTATGCCTCCTTTAAAACTGCTCGGTTTAAATTGCTTACTAAATTCATCCATAAGAGCTACTGTATTTACATTTTATAACTTTTTATCTCTGGGTTTACCTGTAAGTACTAAAACATAAACAAAGTGAAGAGGGGGGAGGGGAGGGGGAAATGTGTGCCTTTTTTAGACGTGACACTGTTTGTAGGCAAGAGCAGAGTCAGGTTTTTAGTTCAATATTTTATGTAAAAAGATGCACTAATATTTGGGCCCTTACCTGAAACCCACTGAAGCCAATAAATAGACTGTTAACTTAAATAAGCTTTGGACCAGGCCTTTCATGCAGGGGGGAGAAATCTATAGATGGATAATGTACTGTGAGATTTAACCCATTTTCCCTCCTTTTCTCGCTTCCAAACTAGACTGTATATTTTTAACTTTAACCCTTGCAATTTATTGCCATTCTTATTCCTAGGAACACTTTGAACTGCCTTGTTCCTTTCAGAAATGTTCTATTTCTGGCAAAACTTATTTTCCATGCATCTTTTTTCTTTTACATAAAAATGTGGGGATGAATTTTGGCCTTGCCAGGACACAACAGTTTTATAAAAGCCTTTCTGAAGCTCATATGGCATAGTGGATATAAAATAGGGTTAATTGCTGAATTTAGCCAGAGGAGCCAAAATGAAATTTCATAGAGAGAATGATGTACACATTGCCCGTGGCAAGCTGCTCTAATGATCATTAGAAGTGTATAAGGAGCCCAACACAAACCAAACACACAGACGATAATTGCTAAAGACTTGGCCACTCTCTTATCCCGGGAAAGTCTAAATCTGCTTGCCATGGTGTTGGCAATGTCTGTTCTTCTTGTGGTATTGCAAACATCTTCTGTAGCTTTATAAAAACTGTCTTTGGGTGGTTTGGTCTCAACATCCACCTGCAAGGGTGGTAGATCTTGGCTGACATGGAAATTTAATGACTGGCTGTCAAATTTATGTAGGCTGAGCCTTGAACCACAAGGTCTATTGGGGGAAAGGCTGCTTGCTCTCCTTTTCTGATCTCTTTGTCTGTCAGCAGGTTTTACAAAGAATATGATGTGCTCTCTCTTTTTCCTTTGGAAATTCATTTCATAGTCCTCCTGACCGGGTGCTAGGCTTTCATTTCTTAAAGAAGTGCGTTTTCTGATATTCATATAAATACTTAAGTTAAAGTATGTAACACTGATGAAAGGCGTAAAGAATTCAATGGTGGAAGCAATCATTAGGAAATACCAATTATAGAAAAATTCTGCATAACATTCTCCTTCAGGGAGGATACTTTTCTGAGCAACATACTCCCAGCTGATGATGGCTGGTCCATAGAGAAGAAAAGCTGCAACCCATACAAATATCATCTTTAATACTGCATTTCTGGTCATCCCTTTCTGAGCCCTGTAGCTCACCTGAGAAGAAAAACGTAAGTCAAATTATTTTCATACACATCAAAACAATATAGCTACATGTACATGGCTTGGGGGCTTTGTCATTTATTTAATCAGTTGGGCACATGTACAAATGAAAAACAACGTGAGAGCTAAACACACTGAAACTAAACTAAAGTATCTCCTGGCATTCCTATTGTTTTAATGTGGTCTGTGAACTTGCACAAACTCCTAAGAATTGTTTAAATTCAGGAGGTGCTGACTGGAACAAACAAGTGAGATCCCTAAGCCCAGGTTTCTCTATAGAAAATACTCTACCATGCATGCCAGCAGTTTCATATGTACTTCATTGCATCTGCTGTAGTGCCTGTTTCAGGAGAGCTCTTGTAAGAAGTTTGATTAATGTTTATATATTTAATTAACGTTTATATATTCAACTCATCAGTAGCAAACCATGCAATTTACTTAACTGAACCTATACGTGTATGTAGGTTCAGTTAATTAAATTGCACTGTTTCCTACCGATGAGTTGAATTTAGCGAGTGTTGTGTTCTGAATCATACAAAGAAGGCTTGAACATTTCACTTCCTTTTTTTACAAAAAGTTCACCCAAATTATTGTCAAGTGACTTATCTGTCTGTGTTCTAGATATGCATTACATATTTTAGTGGTAGAATGCTTTACAAAAATGTAGTATTTCCTATCTTATTATTTTGAGATGGATGATTGAGGAGTACTGTGTTATACCAAAATGCTTTACAGTGGAGTAGGAATGCATAGATTCATAGATGTTAGGGTCGGAAGGGACCTCAATAGATCATCGAGTCCAACCCCCTGCATAGGCAGGAAAGA